GTAGGCTGCCTGAAGTTGGGACGAAACTGAACAAGATGAGTTTGGTGCTTTGGAAAGTGTGAAAGCTGCTAGTGAATTCTATTCTCCTCTATCAGGAGAAGTAACTGAAATTAATGAAGCTCTTGCGGAAAATCCAGGACTTGTCAACAAATCTTGTTATGAAGATGGTTGGCTGATCAAGATAGCACTCAGTAATCCTTCAGAACTGGATGAATTAATAAGTGAAGAAGCATATGAGAAATACATAAAATCTATTGAGGAGTGAAAATGGAACCCCTAAATAAACTAGTATGAAACAACTTAATCTAGCATCGTTGTCTTAAATTGGTAGTACACAGAGGATTTAAAATAGCAACTATTAGCAATACCAGTGGAGAAAGAAACTACTTGCAACAATGCTAATGGAAGAAAATACCCCTTAACTTTATAATGATTGCAGAAAAACACAGCATGCATCTGTTTTGCAACACCCTCTGATTTTTATGCTCCAGTTATAATATTCAGAATCCTGAAATTATCTTTGGTTAAAAACTAGTTATAAAAATTATGTAATTCAAGGATGACATTTTTTTTTTTTTGACATTGTTATCTTAAGCCTTAAGCTTACATCTATCCCTGGATGGTGGTCAAAATGCTTTAAATAATCTTTCCATTGGAAATAACTGGCAGTAGAGAAAGGTTTGTTAGTTGTAATGTGTCATAAAGAACAATACTACCTTCATTTTGCAGTATACTGCACTTGCTGGTGCTATTTTTATGCAATGAAGCAATTGCCTTGCAGGAAGATAGTTTAATAATAAAACATTCAACTTCTTAGTTAAAAAATAAATAAATAAATAAATAATAAAATAAAATAACAGAATCAAGTAAACTAAAAAGCACACAGTAAAACCCAGTCCTTCTAAATTCAGGATGTACATGTGCTTGCTGGCTTCATAAGAGATTTTTCAGCAAGACTCTCTCATTTCATCCCTTTAATTAGATTGGTGGGAAGTGGGACTTCTGGGCTGTGAGTGTGGGAAATGGAAGGGCTGCGGGCTTAGAATTGAGAAGAAACAGGGTCTTTCTTGTCCTGCCGTGGTCTCAGGGACTTGGGTTCTCATTTCCCTAAATCCCTCCCACATCAAAGATGTTTGGATCTGGATCATTAATAAGAACCAGAGTTTAAGATATATTTGAACAACGGGGGAGGCAAGAGAGTGAGCTCTTTTTAGAGAAACAGCTTTCAACAATTTTGTAAATAAAAGCTGATAGACCAGTTTGGGTTCTTTCCAGAAACTTTATTCCCAAGCTATTTATTTCAGGTTCCTATTTTAAGTTTGTTTCTGGCAAAAGAAAAATAAAGGCACTCAACTACTTTCTGTTCTCTAGTAGGAAAATCTCAAACTTAGGGCGATCTGGGGCAGTAGGTCAGTCAGTGAATACATATTTATGGAGGGTTTACTGTTCCTACAGTGGGCACTGTGCTGGGTATTTCAGAAAGTCACGGGAGAGATATGGGGCTATGATCTTTATCAAGAAGCTACACATTTGTTTTCAAGAAGAGAAATTTGTGTTAAAAACCCCAAGTAGATCAGCGTGAAGAGGTTTCCACTGATCCAAGCTGGGGACAGTCTGAGCATCAGAAAATAAAGATTGCAGTGGACCAGAACGCTTTAAATATAAATATATGAGATTATGGTGATGATGATGAGCTCAGAACTTCATTGATCATGATTGGGGTATGGGAATCAACACATTGTTTCAAAGATTTGCAAGGGAAAGAATTTTTTTTTAAAGATTTTATTTATTTATTTGAGAGAGAGAATGAGAGATAGAAAGCACGAGAGGGAAGAGGGTTAGAGGGAGAAGCAGACTCCCCGCTGAGCAGGAAGCCCGATGTGGAACTCGATCCCGGGACGCCAGGATCATGACCTGAGCCGAAGGCAGTCGCTTAACCAACTGAGTCACCCAGGCGCCTGCAAGGGAAAGAACTTTTAAAAACATAACCTACACCAGGCAGTCAGTTGAGAAGCCCAGAAGGAGGGGTGATAGGAAGATCGTACTTCTTGGTGCTGGAGTGTGAAGCCCTGCTGTTTGTTTCTCCTCTGTGTCAGGCTGGCTGACTGCCGGTGAAGAGAAGGCAGGTTCCTCTTTCCCACAGGTGACCACGGGTTGGGAGGTAGCCTGCAGAGTGAGCAGAGGGTGGATTTGACCCCTGCCCCACCTCTTACCAACTGTGTGATCTCGGGCAAGTCTTTAATCCCTGTGAATTTCACCGAATTTATTCAGTAGATAATAGGGATGATAATATTAAGACTTCATAGTGTTACCAAGTTAACTTGAACGAAGGCTTAAAGGCCACCTAATAGGCATTAACTGAAAGGGAATTCCCTCCCCCTGCCTTTTGGGTGTTCACTTAGAGCAGTATGGGCACTATTTTCGGGGGCACCATGTGGCTCCCAAAGCGACTTTGGCCTTTGCATTCCTGTTTCTCTCATCCAGTGGAGTGACCTCAGCCCCAGATGTCTGCTGTGGCTGTCACTACCTTCCAAAGCCACACTGGAGCTGCCCATGACTTGACCACCAACTTTCAAACAGTTACAAAAGAGCATGTGGTTTGAAAGGAACTTTCCTTCACCATTAACCATGTGTGCTAGAATTCTAACTGGGGTGACCTAGACGGTATGACTGACCCATCTCTGAAATGGAATTTTAAAAATCTAAAACGTGGGCCCCTGGTTTGGGCTAGGGAAGCTGTTTTTCTTCGTGAAGAAACATCAGTACAGAGCAGAACAGTGGGCTTTGAGTGAGACGCACTTGGATTTGAAGCCCGGCTTGGCAGCTTGCTGGTCCTTGTTGCCCAGGACAACTTATTTGATCTCTTTGAGCCCTGGCTTATTTTCACCATGATGAGAAAGAATTCATAGATCTTATAAAGTTGTGAGGTGTGGAGAAAGCATACGTTGTCTGTGCTCCATAGAAATGACATCCGTGCCACTGTTAAGTACCGTGTGTACTGTTGGATGTGTGCTGAGTGTGGCTGAACTCGTGTCCCCACGCTTTTCTTTGATTCTTACCTTAACCTTGTGAGTCGGTCTCATGGCGGATTGCTAACCTTCACGTGGCTAAGACATTTGGCCATTTACCCACCAGAGTCACGTACTCCCTGCAGGGCATGGGCCTGGAACCCAGATCTGGGAGTTCTTCCGGCTCTGGTACACATTGTTTGGGGCCCGTATGTGCGTTTTTCTGTCTTATTTGCTGAGCGTGGTCTCAGAAACGCATTTAATTTATCCAGAACTCTCAGGTCCTTTTCTGAAATGTCAAAGAAAAAAACAAGGAAAAGGGCTTCAACAGTGAAATTAATTTTCACTTCTGTTTGTGAGACCCACGTTGGGATCCCCAAAGGTCAGCACCGGAGGTCTAGGGCATAGCACCTCCCTGGTAAGATGGGTGGGCACGGCGTTCATGGATCCTAGGAATCTGGCTCAGGGTCAAGGGCTGCCCATCACAAACAAATGTTCCCCTCGTTTCCTCCAGTTACCGGGCCCAGGAATTGGCATTGGCTGACAGTGGTTTTATTTACCCAGGGAAGAATCTGATGGCATTCACATACAAGTTTACGCTGCATGTCTGTCCGCCCTGTTGTGCCTACAAAGTAGTTGTGTTACATTTCTCGTTGAAATGAGGAAAACATAGAAATCAGGTGCCTGGGGCACCTGGGTGACTCATTCTGTTAGGCGTCTGCCTTCAGCTCAGGTCATGATCTTGGGTTCCTGGGTTCGAGTCCCACATCGGCCTCCTTGCTCAGTGGGGAGCCTGCTTCTCCCTCTGCCTGCCACTCCCTTTGCTTGTGCTCTCTCTCTCTGACAAATAAATAAATAAAAGTTAAAAAAAAAAATCAAATCAGGTGCCTGATGCAAACAACAGTTGTTTTATCATGGACTGGCTGGATTCACTTAAAAATGTCCGACCTGAAAGTGAGGGGATTATAGTCAACCACATTAACTTACTAGAATTACCTGCCCCCCCCTCTCGTTTCTGAGTTGGAGATCTGAGGCAGGATGATGGCTCCTACAGTTGGATAAGATCCATGTATGATTTTGATGTCCAACAGGGATTGGGAACCACTGAGCTGGAGACCCAGAATCCAGGATTCCGCATGTTAAAGGTGCTGTTTTAAGGCCTGATCATAGTAAAATGCCATCATATGGATGACAAGGGTTTGCTTTTTTGTTGTTATTCAGACAACATGTGTGTTGTCTTGTATTTCAGGCACAAAGACGAGTAAAACTTAGTCCCTGTCCTCTAAATACTTCTAACATCGAGAAATACATTACCAGACAATTTCAATGTCCATGCTGAGAGCACGGACAGGAAAGCTCCAAAACCAGATACCAGGGGCACAGGGCAGAGTCATGGAAGGCTTCCTGGAGGAAGGAAAAATCTGTGGGATGTATATGAGTCAGGCGCCTGAGCAGAGGATGCGTCTGAGCATAGCACAGAGGCACTCAATTGACCTTTGGCCCCAGCCTATGCTCCGAGGTCCACGGCTCTTGATGTGTGGAAAGGAAAGCTGTGGCAGGTGGTTCCTGGTTAGGGCTGTGAGCCTCACACTAGAGAGGAGCAGGCCTCTCTTGCTGAGTTTCTAGGAGAGGGCTGAGTCCGTTGGCTGGACTGGTTCCTCCTGCCATCATGTAGGCCATGGAGGAGTCCTAGGAGATGTGGGAGGCATCGGGGTACCCTTGGAGCCTCATCTGATGCGCTGGGGACTGGGGGGCTTGTGCGAGGAGGCTCTTTCTGTTCTGGTTGTCGTGCTCCTTCCTTGGGATCCGTTGCCAATGCATCTGGATGTTGTCAGGACAGCAAAGTGATTTCTGTTCCTGGTGCAACTTGACTTTTTTCAGATTTGTATCCTGCTAATATGTTCAGTTTTATTCACAACTTAGGAAAAAGCTGTTAAGGATGGGGTTGGAGAGGTTGCTATACTAACGGTACATCTCCCACTGCTGTTGTAGCTCATGTGGAAAATGAGGAGCAGTACACCCAGGCTCTGGAGAAGTTCGGAGGCAACTGTGTGTGCAGAGATGACCCAGATTTAGGAAGTGCGTTCCTGAAGTTCTCGGTGTTTACAAAGGAGTTGACAGCACTTTTCAAAAACCTGGTAAGTGTCTTCATGCACGTGCAGCTGTTGGGCCGTGTGTTAAATACCTGCGGTTCCCTTAGTCGGAAAGGTAGCTCCATAAAGGATAGCCAAGTTGTGTCTGATCAGCTGCAAATAAATTTCAAAGCTCATGCGGTGCCTAAAGGAATTATATTTTCTATACACATTAGGTGACTTTGGAGTAAATTTTAGAATTGTAATTCTTATGGTAACACGGCTTTTTAAATTCAAGTCAGCATTTAAATGTGCACAGCTGTGGGACAAAATGGATAAATGCATTCATCTTCTTAAGGGCCTCTGACTTCAATTTTTAAGTTTCTAAACTGTGTAGAATCGTCTGTTTCTGGTAATTATGGTAGGCGTTTAAACTTACAATATTTAATAAATATGTTCCGGGCCTGTCTTATACAGCAAGGTAACCTATAATCAAAGCACAGAAATTGCCATGAACATTTAAAGGCCTTTTATGCTCCCAAATGCAGAGCCTAAAAAAAGTCACTTTTTAAGCAAGTGGGAACATGGAGTTGGGACTTCTTGCCTGTGGTAGGTGCTGGGTAACGTGGGTGAATGGGGTTCTTTCTTGCACTTGGCAGCTCTGTGCCTTCCACATTGTGGGAACAGAATTCTGAACAAGTGGGCAGCCTGAGAGGGTGTTTGTGACCCTGTTGCCTGGCTTCTTCCACAAGGGGACTATGCACTGGGATGGCCCCAGCCTCCCTTTCCTGTTTTTCTCCCCCAGCTTCTAAGGGTCATGGGTGACCAGAGCAGGTCAAGGTCGCAAACAGCAGCACTATTCTCACTTCTCCTGTGAGCAAGCAAATAACAAGTGAAAAAGTAGCTCATCGTTCTTGAAATGGTGATGATGGTGGGTTTGTACATCTGGCCTTGATGGCGCAGAAAGAAGGGAACATTGTGTACGCATTAATAACGGGGAAGGGAAAGAACCAGATCCTTAAGGCTCTGGGTCTCTCTCCCCATCTTCACTTGTAAAAGATTTCAGTTGGAAATGGTAAAATTAAAAAGCCATTACTGTGCTTAAGTTTTTTACTCAGGCTCATTTGCAATCTCTGGGGGCTTTTATCAAGTTCATCACCCATTTCTTCCTGCTCCAAACAAGCTGCCAGTGAGCGTCCTGACTGGGGAGCCCTAGCCCCCCATCAGCCCCCGCTCCCTGGACCCTGGCAGACATGCTCATTAGGCTTTCACCACTGAGTTAGACTGCAGTTTTTTTTTTGACCTGGAGAAACTGAATGGCCCCAGGGAAGACCTGTGGAGGGCTTCTTGGGACACAGCCTGCACCCCACTCTCCTAGCCCCTGAGTGGGTCGGCCCCATCCTGGCTCTGGGCACCTCACTCCTAAGTTTGAGCGAACAGCCTACAGAGTGAAAGAGACCAAAATAAGCAGAGAAAAGGACTTAGAGGAAACAGGGGTATTGCAAATAGCAGAAGGAAACTTTAAAGAAACTGTATTTCATTCCCCTGAGAGATTGGAGTAGATGTATCAGAGGGAAGGAGAAGGGACAAAGCTATGGTTAAAGGAAGGGGAGAGACAATTAATGTGAGAAAATATTAAAGCAAAAATCCAGTGACGTGGTTGGGATAGAAGTCTGTCAGAAAATAGACCAAAGAACAAAGCAAACCAGAAAAAAGTGGAAAACAGGTAAGAGATGAGGATTAATCCTTAAGGCCCGTCATTCAGCGGACAGTCTCCTCAGAGAGAATGGAATGGAAGACAGGAGACCAAGATGGTCCCTGAAACCCAGCCACTCTCGTCTCCCGACTGAAGGCTGGTCAGAGCCCAGAACAGGGAGGGAGGAGGCCCCTAGGCATATCTCCGTGGGAAATTGTGAACAATATCTTCACACTTCCAGAAGGCACATGGTGGATTAGGAATCAGTGGTATTGGATGCCTCACCAGTAACACTGGAAACTTGAAGGCATGGAGCAAGGCCACTAATATCCCGAGGAACAGAATTCCAACCTGGAATTATAGCCAACTGAGCCTGAGAGTAGAATTAGAGACATGCAAGGCTCAAAAAGTTTAGCTCCCGTGCGTCATTTCTCTGAAACTCCTAAAGGGTGTGCTTTAGCGAAATGAAGAGGGAAGCCAAGAAAGAGGAAGAGGTGTGAGTCAGGAAACAGGATTGGGCCAGAGGGAAGCGGCGGGAAGGATCCCCGCAGGATGAGCAGCACCCACCCCACCCCCAACCCCCCACCAGGCAGCTAACTCTTTCCTCTCCATTCAGCTCCTCTCCAGACCTGGCTTTTCTTAGCTGTAGAATGGAGGTAATAGAACCACACCTGGTTTTGTGTATAGACTCCAGCCAATTGCTTTACACTCTTAATTTACTTAATTTTTACAACAGCTCCCAAGAGGGAATCCGGGTTCTCCCCGCTCTGTAGATTATATAACTGAGGAGGCTCTGGGGTCTCTAAAGAGCTTGGGGTGGCCCCTGCTTGTGTGCCTGCAGGTGGAGGAGAGCCCACCTTAGCACTCCACACGGTGGAATCCCCAGGAAGCCAGCTTGCACTTCCTTATGAACATGAGCCGCTGCACAGTTAAACGAAACTGCCCCTTCTTTTCTGGATTTTCTACGAAACTGAAGGCCGGGCAGGTCGGGACCTTGCAAAGGCTACTTGGTCACTTTGAGCACTGCAGGACTCAGGAATCTGGGCCAGGCCCGGGTGGCTGCCCACTTTTCCACGGTGGTTACTGAGCACCCTTGGTGCGGTAGGCCCCGGGCTAGGCATGAAGGGGACACTCGCTCAGTCCTCCTGACCGCTATGCAGTTCAGCTCCTGCTACCTTCGTCTGTCAATTAGGGACTTCCCGGGTCCGTAGTGAGCGAGCGACAGAGTTGCCATTCAAATCCGTCTCTTAAAACGCCAAATCCATACTGTGTTCATTGTGGTATTAAAGAAATTAAGGTTTCTGATCAACTCTTCTGGAGGGAAAGAGACCGAACAGGAGGGTCGGTGGTGCGGGGAAAGCGTCAAGTGAAACGCAGGCCAGGCGGAGCTGCAGTGGCCACAAGGCAGCCTCAGAGCCTCAGTTTCCCTGATGGTGGGAAAACCAGGCCCACTCAGGGCCAGCATCAAGAGGAAAGCAGTGAGTGGGGAGGGTTCTTTGTCAGCTACAGCCCAGCACGCCAGTGACACCCTCGTGTCGTTAGAAGTCCTAGTGGTAGTAGCTTTGAGTCTGGGCTCTTTCCTTTGCTTTCAGCTTTAATTTATGGAGTTAGGGTTGTTGATCCTGTGTCTGGCAAAGATCAGAGAGAGGGAGAAAATCTCTTATTTGTGCCAAAATTAGATTCACCAGGCCTGATTTTCTGGGCCGGTGCCATTGGCAAAGCTGCCCAGCCACCGGAGCACCGAGTGGCCCCTTGTAAGAAGCTGTTGCTGAGAGCCAGCCGATTACAGGAGAATTCTCCTTTTTTGGTATTTTGTATACCATTCTTATTCCTATTTTTGGTCACATCTGTCCTATCTCTTCTTTTTAAAGCCTTGCTTTTACTTTCTCTCAGGCAGTTAAAAACATTTCCGTTTTGGGTGGCTAAGATTGTCAATTCTCCCCTTGTCCAGAAAGAAGAATTACCACCTACCTGCTTTGCAGTGTGAGAGAGTATTTATAAAGCAGTTGGAACATCTCCAAAGAAAGGCCAACTTAACATAAAGTGAGATTTTTTTACTAATGAGTGAGATTCTCACCTTCAGAGAGCTGATGAATTTTCTCTGCAGTTATGCAGGATAAGGGGAAAAACAAGGCAGCTCCAGAAATGTAACATGTGTGAAATTAAACTGGTTATAAAGTCAGCCCAATTTCTTAGGTTCTTTTCTTCCTACCAGATGGATGTGAGGATCCTGGAAAGATTTTCCAGGGATCACTTCTGTGCTGAGAGGTAGCTTTTTAACGAGTGGCTGCATTAGAGGACACATTGCTGGAAGGTCATTCCCAGAGATGCAGTCCCTGTCTTGGTTTCAGAGAATTGGGGGTGATACATACGTGCTCCCCATCCACAGAGCTGCCCCGGCTGGAAAGAGGGCCAGCAGATGCCCAGGGAAGGACAGAGTTCCGGTGTGAGATCTGGGGGCGGCCCTGGGGCTCAGGAAATCTCACTTCACTCTCATCGAAAGAGGAGTTTGAAAATTCCACCGACCAACATGCACCTAAGTCACGAATTTATTTTACGCAAATGATCGGCATTACAAGATATTCTAGCAGCAGAGTAAAGCACTAGTGAGGTTCTGTTGGGGTGTGGGGCAGCCTGCGGCCTTGTCCATGTGAGGTGGGCCAAGCCTGGCAGAGAGGCGTCCTACCCTGCTGTGTGGGTAACAGAACAGCCATGTTCTCCTGCCACACCCTCCGTGTCCAGGTAAATGTGAGCTCGGTCTCCAGACTAACAGAGCGTATCTCATTGCTTCAAGTATGGAGAGCATCCTGCCAGGGGTCTTCACCCTCAGTACTTACACCTACGTCTTCTCTCTCTCTTTTTCTTTTTTAAGGTTTTTTTTTTTTTATTTCTTCATTTGAGAGAGAAAGAGCGTGCGCATAAGGGAGAGAGCATGAGAAGGGGGAGGGGGGAGGGAGAAGGACAAGCAGACTCCCCACCGAGCAGGGAGCCTGACGCAGGACTCGATCCCAGGACCCAGAGATCATGAACTGAGCCGAAGGCAGACGCTTAACGACTGAGCCACCCAGGCGCCACGTGTACTTCTTCTCTTTTAACTTCATTTTTTGAAAATGCAATAAATTAAAATGTCTTACACCAATCATAATTTTCTCTTTTTGGGAGGAAGACTTACCATTGTTTTGGGCATACATTAATGAACTACGCTGAAATTTAGAGAACCCCTAGTATCTCGTACATGGTCTTTGGGGATCTCTGCCCCTAGATTGGTGCCAGACTACCCACTTTCCATTTCAGACATTTTAGTATCCTGACACTTTTTTTTTTTTAATTTTATTTATTCATTTGACAGACACAGCGAGAGCAGGGACAC